TTAGTTTGCGATAAAAATCCATAAAGTACTATTGAATATGAACCACAAATATCTCAATTGAGTAAATTGTAGCTATGATCCTTTAACTTTAACTCAATTGGAGCAAAGGTCTATCAACTAAAAATTTATTATCATTGGTCCCTTAACTCATCAAAACGTGCAGCTATGGTCCATCAACTAAAAATCCATTACCATTGGTCCCTCAACTTTAATTTAACTGGAGAAATGGTCTTTTAACTTTAACCCAATTGTATCAATGGTCTTTCCAACATAACTTGTTTTAACAAAATTTTGACGTAGTTAACGAAAATGACCATAATTACACACTTTGATGGGTTGAGGGACCCTAATTATATAAATGGTTATTCTAACATAACTTATTTTAACAAAATTGATGAAAATGACTATAGTTACACATTTTGGTAAGTTGAGGGACTAATGGTAATGAATTTTTAGTTGAGGGACCATTGCTCTAATTTGATTAAAGTTGAGGAACCATTACTATAATTTACTTTAACTCAATTACATTTTTAAAGATTCTCTCACACACCCAATTTTCCTTTGAAGTTATAAATAGATTAAGAACAGAGACATCTTTTCTTGGTGTGTGTATATAATATATCTACATGCAAAAATTCTTAAGTGTTCCAAAGTAATCAGTATTTTAGATGTTTTAACCAATAAATCTTAAATTTTATATGTTTAACAAAAATTTAACGATTAAGAACATCCAAGAAAGTCCCCTCTACATGTAGGAAAACCAAGTGTTGGATGAATTCAAATTTTATTCACACAAAGACATCTCTTGGTTATCTACATTGTAGATAGTTGGATGTACATTTGTCACCTCGAGTCCTTCAAAATAGCTGAGTCTCTTTCATTGGTTTAATTGCTCACCTGTGGTAACAGCCAAGCAATTTTGTACACAAAGGACAATAACATCAAATCAACATCAGAAAAAATAGGAGCTTGCTTCTTTGCCATCCTACTTTCTATACACTTCCATCCTTTCTTATTTTATGCGATTATGGTTAAATCATGTCAATATTTTATATTAATTTTTTATAAAAATAATAAGATAAAAAGAAACAATAGTATAAAATATTGACATGATTTAATCGTGATCTTACAAATAAAAGAGGATGAAAATGTATGGAAAATGGAAGGGCTGGGAAGCCAGCTCCGAAAAAATATGGTCTTATGCTCGTTTGGTTGGTTTCACACTTAGCTACCGCCAGCTGTATCATAGCAACACAATAACTACCTAAGGCAAGTCGTCAACTGTTTCCCAATAAAAGAAAAGTCGTCGACGTGAAGTCTGATCCACCAAATAATCGTCAATGATAAAATTAATCAAAACATGAAAAAATAATGGAAATTTTTTGAATCTTCAGATTATTAAAAAGTATTTTGCAACTCAGTTGTTCGAAATTATTTATTTTTACACTTGTGGTTTTGTTTAAATGACCACTCCTGTTAATTTAAATAAGTAGGATTGGTAATTCTAATTGTTAAATCCGATAATCATGAATAATCGTCCGAATAGATTGAATTTGAGTATGAAAATTTAGATATATTTTGAATATGAAGAAAAATCTTGAATATTATTCGGTTATGATTATAGGACCCCAATTCGATTTGAATAATATATAATATAATAGTATTATATATATATATATATATATATCTATTCGTTATTCACCGAATCTATTACTTTGAGAATACAAAAGTTGCATTTTGTGAAAAAAAAAGTTCAAAATTTTGAATCAAAACCAATGAGAATTCAATGGTACTTACCGGAAATATCAAAGATCAGCCAACATCATCAATGTTTAGCTTTAATTTTTATACTCTACAAGATTCATTCATTGAATCATGTTATACATCAAATATTTGATAATGAAATTAATATTTACTAAATTATAATATGTCAACTGAACGAATATATTTTTTGTGTTAACGAAAATGGATATAACTGTTAATTGATGGAGAATCCGTTATCCGGTGGGTATAGTTATGGATAATACCCGATGGTTATTTTGTGGTTATAGATATGGTTAATTTTTGTGGATATGGATATGAATATAGTATTTTCGTCCTCAAATCGAATCGTTGATATCCTTACAAATGAATACATATGGATTCTTTTATTATTTGTAAAATTAAAAAATTAAAAAAAAAAAGTCTTGATTATTTACTGAATAAATGGTTTTGGACTTTGCCTTTGATCCACGAAAGACTCACAATTCTTTCAATTGACATTGTCCTTTATCCACTTGGATGAGGGTTCTGTTCAGGCTAGGAAACACTCAAACTCTATTAGACGAGAACTTCTATGCAATGATAATGTTATGGTAGCGGTATATTCAAAACTGTAGCCACGTAAAACTTTGAATAACATAATTAACTCGTAATAACTCAGCTATGGTGACATGTTAGATAAATTGCCGCCAATTTTTGGCGGGGACTGAAGCTGCTGACTGCATTGTCTTTTTCTTTTTTTTTTTTTAAGGAAAATAAAAATAATTTGAAAATTTTGAGTTTTAATGATAAAGATAAAATAAAAAGTAAAGTGAATAGTAATAAAATTGATTTTTTAGTGTAAAAATGTAATTTTTGGTTAAAATAAACAGTATCAAAAACTTTTGGTTAAATTTTTTTTTTTTTTTCAAATACAATTGAATTCAAGTTTGTCCTTTTATATGACGTAGGTCTTTTAGCATGAGGTGACGTAGGTCCTTTACATGAAGCAAGTCATTTTGTAGGAAGAAAAATACTTGGCTACTGAACAGTTTAGCAGGAACTCCTATTTACATCTAATTTTAAATGAACATGTATCTAAATTTTAATTAAAGAAATTAAAATTTAAGCACGTATTCATCCGAAATTAATTGTAAGCAAGAACACCTGCTGAAACTTCAGCAGCCAAACAGCGTTCGAGAATAGCGTGTGAAATCAAATTTTGTTCGCACGAGGCATCTGTGTGTGTGTGTGCGTGTTTATGGCTGCACATTTGTCAGTGCATTAAAATATGAGTCTGTTTCGTTGAGTTAATTGCTTACCTGTGGAAACAGCCAAGCGATTTTCTACCCAAAGGGACAATAACATCAAATAACATCAGAAAAATAATGACTCATGCTCTTTTTGTTGGTTTCACACTTAGCTACCGCCAACTGTATCATAGCAAAATAATAGCTACCTAAGTCAAGTCGTCAACTGTTCATAAAATAGAAGTCAAGACTTCAACGTGAACTCCTCCTCTTTTTTTTTTATTTTTTTTTATTTTTATTTTTTTTTCCTTTTTTTTTAACAAAAAAACAAGACGAAGGCAAATTTTAGCTCTTGAACAATCTCAAACCGATCCGGTCAAAGGATCATAGATCAAAATATAGTCTATTTTGACACGAAAATCATCTTCAACCGAGAACTAAGCTAAAGAACTTGTGTGCTCCACCAAGTCAGTAGGCTGGCCAAAAGGAGCCAGCCCGTTTGCACCAGCCCAAGCCCATGCTAGTTGATGTTAAGTTACAATTGGATTTTAGACGAATTTTTTTTTTAATAAAATTCTAATTTTTTTCTTATAAATACCTAAATCATTTCTACCTCATTTTATTTAAATTCTTCACCAATTCTTCATATCATTTTCATTATATAAAGATAAGAAATTCGGAAGTTTATTCATTTAGCGACAAATGACACTTAAAATATATCCGAAAACCTTATTTTACTATAATAGTTTAATTTAATCAACCATATTAATTCAATTAAAATAATAACTTATTAATGGGGCTAAAATATAGCCCCTTCGCTGAAGATGAGTTTTTTGTCAAATAGGCTATGTTTTGGTCTATGGTCCTTTGGCCCTCTCAGTTGAAGAATGGCATAAAATACAGTCTGACACTGTTCATTAAAAAATAGTTTCTTTGAGGGTTATAGGGCTAAACATGATCATTTGGCCCGCTTTCGGTTGGAGAAATTGTATAGAAATGGCTTAGGTATTTATAGGGAAAAAAATTAGAATTTAAAAAAAAAAATCTTAAATTTCGTTATTAAAAAAAAAAAAACTACATGACATCAACTAGCAGCACAACTGAACCCAACTTTCAGGACTAGCTGGTTGGCTAGGTTTGCCTAACATTTTTACCCATACACATGCGCGAGCACATACGTACATCATCAGAACAACATTGTAGTGAAAATGGTTGCAATTAATAGATGGAGAGAGATCGAGTTTTGAAGAACATGCTTTTTTTAGTGTATCCATGAAAAGAGAGCGTTCAACAGATCTTTTGGTTTGCCAGGGAAGAATAAGGAATGGCTTTGTGGACATCAGCATCCTTGTCTTTTTTCTATATTTTCTCTATGCTGTCCATTATTTCCAAGGTATATCAAGTACAGCTCTGCCTGGTTCTCCACATCTAAATCTTCTCTTTTGTTAGCCATAACTACTCAATCAAGTTTATGATACTCCGTGATGATTAGTAATTCAGTATTCCCAGCTATACTGACTGTAAAAACAAATTGTGAGAGATTAGCGAGAGAGAGAGAGAGAAAGTTCAGCTACATGGAAGCTTACAGCAATGACACCTGAATGGCTAAGTTTAGGAGGCTTTCAGTTTACAAGGTACATCAAGTAGAGAGTGAGCGCACTCAAGTGGCAGAAACCAAAGTTTGGTATCATTCTTTGCAGCAAATAGCTAGATGCTTCATGCAAATGATGATGTTATCGATCCAGAAAAATCCCGTTTCGAAAACAAATCAAGGTTCTACTTATTAATCTGCAGTGGGTCTGGACTAATTAGTGTTTCGTTTAGACGAGCTGTTTTTTTTTTTTTTTGAAGAACTGGCATCCAATAAAACCAGGGCCGAAGCCAAAACGCACCAGAAGCTCACCGAGAGCAAGCTACAAAGGAAACCACAACTAAAACAGAGGAGGGGGATCAACACTACAGACCCAGCCCAAAGCCACGGTCTCCCCCTCCCCAGCAAAAACAAAAAAACTAATGGGGACAAGGTAACCCATCCTTGTTCAACACATGGACCAACGAAGATGGAGGGAAATTAACCCAATTCACATCGCACATCTCCGGAATACTTCTCGACGCCAACACATGCGCCGCCAAATTGGCAGACCTTGGAACCCAAGACCAGCGACAGTCCTGAAAGAGCCCCCCTAGGCGCAAAGCCTTGGAAATAACGGGGAAAGCCTCCCAGCTGCCCCGCGAACAACCCTGAGCTAAACAAAGGATATTCTCCTTTGAATCGGACTCCACAATGATGCATTCCAACGCCAAGGCTTTGGCCAGCTCGCACCCAAGCAAGATCGCAGCTGCCTCGGCAGCAGCAACATTAGTGGCCCCAACCATTCCACGTCTAGCAGCCACAAACTTCCCCGCATGATACCTGATCACCACGCCAGCAAAACCGCTTTTGGAACTGGCCTCCCAACTCGCATCCACATTCACCTTCAAGAAAGGATGGCCCGGGGGACCCCAGCATGCAGGAGGACCAGGGCGAGACAGATTCCTCTGAGGGTGACCCTCGGAAGCAACAGACGCCTCCAAAAACCCATTCACCGAATTCGAAATAGACATGATGACTTGATTAGGATAAATTCCCCTGTTATCATAAACAAAACTACACCGGGTTTTCCAAATAAACCAGCAAGTAAAAGCCACATTCATCAGGATCCTAGCAATCTCATCCTTAGAGCCCAAGTCAGACCCAATGAACGAAAGAACCCAGGCAGGGAAGTTCGATATATTTGCTCTATTCACCCGATAATTCAACGGGCCCCCAAACCAAATCGGTTCAACCCATGGGCACAGAAGGAGCATATGTTCAACAAATTCATCCTGCACCAAGCAAATTGGGCAACATGGGGAAGGGGAACAACGGCGCTTGAACAAATTCTCCATCGTGGCCAAAGCGCGGCTCAACGCCCTCCACATAAAATTACGAACCTTCGGAGGGGTCTTCAAGTGCCAAATACATTTCCAAACATTGCCTGGGATTACAGATGAGGATGCGGAAGGCCTGCCAATCATAGAACTCGAGTTAGCATGCTTCCAATGATACCCAGATTTCACAGAGTACACCCCATTCCTGGTAGCCGGCCAAATTAATCTATCCTCCCGAAGCCCATCACCTATGGACGTATCCAGAATGGCCTCGAAGTCCTCCAAAGAAATAAAAGGCCTAATGGCCTCAATATTCCATGTTCCGGACACATCATTTAAGTTCCTTTATTATAATGACTTAGCTGCAGGCAGTATTGACCAAGGTTCTTAATTTTCTTTAATCCCTAGTCTTTTTGTAATGTACTTGTTGCTTTAACAAACAAATTATGCAAACCTTACAAATTAAATAATACTAAATAACAACCTTCATGTCAGAAATGCAGATTAAACTGGCATTTGATGAAGAAATCTAGCCTTTGAGTAGAAAATACTCACTCCTACACCGGTTTGGATTTACACTTGGCAACCACTACATATGCACCAAGAACATATAGGAGCATATGATAATCCAAGTCGTGAACATATATATGATAATTAATCCAAATCCAAGTCGTTAACATATGGTGATTAATCACTAATTAGAACACGCAAGGAACTAATTATTGTTATTGCGAAAATGCAAGTTGCAGGAAGGAGTAGTTTAATTAAGATACCGCTGATAACAATTAAAAGTTAAACCTCGCTTCAGTGCCGGGGTTTTCAGTGTTGGAGTTGGTTTTCTCGGTCCCTCGATGAGCGGCTGCTGGTTGGACTGGACGACGACGAGCACTGTTTGCTTTCATCTTCTCGCTTCATCTCATTCAGCTCTGCGTGTGTTCTTCATTTTTCTTTTCTGGGTTGGACCCGTCGTTGTCCCTTTGAAAAAAGGTCAAAAGTTGAGAGCCTAGGGCCCATTAAATGGGCCTAAATATACAAAAACGTAAACCCACTGTTCAAAAATGGCCCAATTTTTAAAAAGATCAATTGACCCAAAAATAAAAAAATAAAAAATCAAAGGATGGAAGAATTGGGAGAGAGAACTCGAACACAGAAACTCGAGTGTAGAATTACTTTTGAGCTAAATGATGAACATACAATTTTTTTGACATTTTTTTACACCTCTATTATAGGACCTTAACCCCTCAAATTCAATTTCTTTCATTTAAAACCCGACATAACCTTTTTACTCAAATAAAATTCAGTGAATAAACTCCACATAAGCAAATTCATTAATTATGTTTTACTTTACACATTTAAAAATTTTCAAATGCCTAAAATACCCTTTTTGCATGTTTAAGGAGGATTAGTGATTTTACAAATATATGCAGATTTTAAGGAGGATTAATGATTTTACAAAAATAAAAAATAAAATCAAAAGGCACTGTTATTCCAAATGCATTAAATGTTATTTGAGAATTAAAGATTTCTACGTTTTGTAATTAATTTGGTTGATTTATGTTTCTCTCACTCCATAAAATTTGCTTCTAATTTGATATAGGAATTAATTTGCAAAGTTTTCTTAATCTTAACAATACTTTTCAATTTAAATATATTTTTTTAGTGAAATAGTCTATATTTTAAAATATTTATTAATAAAATAATGTACCTGTAACTTTATACCGTAATTTATCTATCATATAAGATTTGTGGAATAATAATGTACCTATTATTTAATTTTTACAACACTAATGTATTTTCAAAAATAATTTACTAATGTGTATAATTTGTAAAGCTAATGATGTACCTATTGTTTAATTTTTAAAAATGAATGTATATACAAAAATAATTTATCTATTGTTCCAAATTTTAGGATAAAAATTTACATGTTCTTATTTAACAGTAATGTATCCATAATTTTATTTTTGTATGAATATAATTTACCTACTTTTTAATTTTATATAAAACTAATTTACCTACTGTGACAATAATGTATCTACGATTTTATTTTTGTATGGATATAATTCACCTACAATTTAACTTTTCAAAAAATGTATCGTCTATTTCACGATTTACTATTACATATGTGTTTATGTGTTCACAAAATAATTTATTTAAAGTTATATGGAAATTGTTAAAAAGGTTAGCTAATGGTTGTATGAGAACTGACATACCCCGAACCAAATATCGGGGTGTGCTGGCCGTCACGTGAGGGTGACGTAGCCAAGTGCGCAGTGCGGAAGTACTAGAGTGAAAATACGAGGAAATCAAGCCGATAAGATAATTTACAATAAAAGATTAGTGAGTAATGGACGAAAACAGAAAGAAAAAAAAATGTAAAGTAGAAGTTCAAATATCCTAGGTGCAATCTAGAATAAACAAGTATTACATAAGCGATAACTAGAAAATCCTACATGGAGGGTGCTCTGTCAGAACTACCTCGATGCCTCGTTCACCGCCAATGTCACCGCTACCTAAAACCTGGAAGGGCGCAAAACAGAAAACGTGAGTGGGTAAAAACAAAGTTTGCTTTTCAAACCATTTCAATATCAAGTAATAACCCTTCACTGTAAAACAAGTATACTTCCCCATAAAATACTATATGTACTCGTATATCAAATCATGCTAAAAACGATAAAACTCAAATATGCCATGCCAGAAAATATGCCATGTCAGAATATCCAATCAAACGGTATAAGCATCAAGCAGGTGAGATAAAACAAATCATAATATGCCGGTAATATCAGTACATCAGCTGGAGTCACCTAAAGTGACCTGTACGGCTGAATCTATAGCTCCTCAACCACTATCCTGCACACGAGTCGGAACCACCTATAGTGGTTTTTACGACAGGCTGGTGTATATAAATATGCTCAGTGCTACGATTACGCGAAGATTGTGCGATGTATCGCAAGTCACCTACGAGTCGGAACCACCTATAGTGGTCTGTACGACAAGTTGGCACTTACCTTGGATCCAAGGCGAGCGTACGGTGCTGGAGGTGAACGATCACGTGAAGGCTAGGCCCTACTATGGCAGAGCACAAGCACCGAGGTGCAGAAATATAAGCTATAACTCAATCTCGGCAACACCACATCTATCACTAACAACATACTCACCTAACTTACCTAAGCGTCCGCGGTACCAAAGCATAACCAACACAATCACAATAATAATAATAATATCGACGATATTTGACATGGCATTTCAATCATAAACCATTTTGATTATAAAACCATTAAAATGTAATTTCTGGGAAAATACCAATCATAATATATATATATATTGAAAACAAAAGCCCACTCACTGATACGCAGAAGGGTCGTAGGCCCCGAGCCTCGTGTGGTTGCGCTCATCCTCAGAATAGTCCTCACCTATATGTGAAACAACTATAAAACCGTCAATTTAACGCACATAACCAACCTTAAGTAATAACTTCTCGTACATTGCTCAATTAGGGTGTTTGAATATACCAACATGCTATACTCAATCCCACGAACACCCCCATATTTTTAGAAAAATTTTCGGAAGCCTCACGCTCCCCCACGTGCTGGCCAAGGCACGACCACACGCGCCTCCCACGCACAGGCACGTGCCTAGCGCATGAACGGAATCCCTAACGCTGTTAGGGAATATTTCGTCAAAACCAGAATATTTCATTAACTTTAACCCTACGCCACTAGTCTTCGTTAGAAATATTCCGTCAACTTTGACGGAATATTCTGTCGTCTCCTACCTCAGTCACTGGAATCCGGCGCCGACAGCCGTTGTGTCGCCAGATTCTGGAAAATCTTTAAACTTACTTTTCTCACTCATTTCTCAACCAAACTTCACAAAATTTATGTCAAAATGAAGCTTAGGACAAGGGAAAGAAGTTTATACCACTTTGAAGCACTAAAAATGTTGGAATCTCGCCGGAGAAATCTTACAAAATCCGGCCAAACTTTAGAACTTGCTATCCCGAAGTCCAAAATCCTTCAAACTTGCTCTCCGAGCTTTGTGAGAAAGTTTTAAGACTCCTTGTGATCTTAAAACTCGATAAAACCTCCACGATCACGAGCATGTGAACAGTACCATCGACGGAGTCCACAGATTCATAGGGTTTTCGAGGGTTCCAAGCCAAACCAAGGGTATGAGCGTGTTGATTAGGTCACAAGGAACACGAAGAGGGTATTTGAAACCTCGATCCGTGCCAAAATTGTGAAGCGTGATGCTGTCCGTACAAATATGGTGAAAATGGAAGAAGTGTCGAGAAGGATGAGAGAGAGAACCAGGAAAGGAAGAAAATGGTGCACATGTGCATGTGTGGATGTGTGTGTGTGTATGTTTTAACCAATCACAAAAGCCAATCCAAAACGTAGCCCATTCACATACACACAACCACTAACAAGTAAGGGCAGAAACGTCATTCCCACGTTATCGGTAAATTATTTCGGAACGGGCTGTCACAGAACAGTTAAAGAAAGCTATGGCATAAATTGTAAATAACTTATATTAATAGGTTACTTATTTTCTTATGTGGCAATTTATTTAAATTTTGAGTTTTATTAGATGTTTATTCATAGGTGAGTTTTTATCCGAGGTATACAAGTTGTATAGGCCTATACATGGTCAGAAATAAAGATAGCGAGTGTGAGAGATTATTTTTCATGTGGAAGAGAAGACTTTTTCGGATTCAATTTTATTATAAATAAAAAAATAAAACTAATTAGAAATTAGGGTTAAACATTGTTTGCACATAGATATTGACAAAGAACTTGTCCAAGTCTTTTCCAAATATTCCCCTAACCTTCCTTTTATTTATTTTTTATTTCTTTTAACAAACGATAGTATCTACACTAAGATCATGGGGCTACGTAGTACTACGGTCGGGTGGTATTCGCTCCACATTACCTTAGATATGCTAGTTTCTTATGTGGGTTTAATTTGAGTGTGTCAGGCTAATCAATTTCTTTTTTGTTTTTTTCATCTCTTCAATTTCTATAAAACCTTGTAACTGCAAATTTTGCAGAACATGACCAACATAAACATATCCATGACAAATGGTATTGTGGCTACCACTGCTTAATTATTGAAACGTACGGCTAATTATCAACCAATAAAAATATTATTTTGAGGCCAGAGCTTATACAAAATGTACTGAGCTAGGTTGTTCATGGAACTCTTGGCCATAAATAGAGCGTCTCGACTTTGATGTTTATGAAGATACTAATTGCCTGCTGTAGATGGCAAGATCTTGTCATCCTCTATTTCAGCCGGGGAGTGGGGAGGACGTCGTTGCGTTTTGGTAATGAAACGACGAACAGTATGACGTGCCAACTCGCATCTGGAGACTACTGTTGCCAAGTCCTTGGCCATAAGCACAAATGCTTCTACTTTTGTCTGAGTTTTGACATGTTTGCTGGAGACTGGAACTTTGGCGAAACTGTCTGATGCCCAATCAAGAAGCTCTTCCCCGTAAAAGTGACCTTTCCCAAGGTGCTTGGTGGCCATTGATGAGATTCCTTGCCTAGCTTGACTATCACTCGATGTGTAGGTCCACATTGTCCCTTTGATAATGAATAGCATACAATCGAGTGGATCTCCTGTTCGAAAAACAAAGGTGTTCTCAATGTATGTCACTGACTTCAGATATTCGCATATCAACGTCAACATATATTCATCCATGTATTTAGGCTTTTTTACCTACACAAATGCCGCACAAATTTCATCAGAACTGTTAATCTTCATGAATTGCAGTATATATCTGTCTATATCCTTTCTATAATATGCAAGAACTAGAGAAAGATTAGAGAGAGAGAGATTAGAGAGAGAAAGAGAGAATAGAAGATATTATTTCTGTAAAGTATTTCTTACACATTAAGTATCTCAACAATATTGCCTTATATAGGCAGTTACACATCTAGTTACTAATGAACCAAAACACCAAGATTGTGACAAGTGTCACAATCATGAACCATTGACTATATATTCTAACATCCCCCCGCAAGCTCATGCTGGGATGAACTGAGCATGAGATTGAGACAATGAGTTCTAAACAGAGGACCACTTAACCCTTTGGTCAGGATATCAGCAAACTGTTCTTGGGAGGAAACAAACTGCACTGTCAATTGTTTCGTGGCCACCCTTTCACGGACAAAATGGACATCGATTTCAATATGCTTAGTCTTCTGGTGTTGGACAGGATTGAAGGACAGAGCAATAGCCGACAAGTTATCACAGAAAAGAACAGGTGGTATGCTCACTAGAAGACGCAGAAAGACAAGCAGTTGCTTAATCCAATCCAATTCTGCAGAAGTAGAAGAAAGAGCTCTGTATTCGGCCTCAGTAGATGAACGAGACACAGTTTGCTGTTTCTTAGAAGACCAAGATATGGGATTGGATCCTAAGAATACAACCAACCCTGTAGTGGACCGTCTGTCATTGGGATCGCCTGCCCAATCCGCGTCACTAAAGGCCTTGAGGTGAAGGTCTCCGCGAGCATAGGTTACTCCCACAGTCATAGTACCTTTTAAATACCGGAGAATACGTTTGACAGCAGTATAATGAGTGACCATAGGGTGCTGCATAAACTGGCATACCTGATGCACTGAAAAGGCAATGTCAGGCCTGGTGAAAGTAAGATATTGAAGTGCTCCCACAATGCTCCTATAGGTACCAGGATTGGGATAAGGATCACCATCATCCTTAAGAAGTCGACTATATGGAAGGCAGGGTGTATCACAGGGCTTGGCATCAAGCATTTCAGTCTTTGCTAACAAATCATGAATGTATTTAGTTTGGGACAGAAACAAGCCACTGGGAGTCTTGGAGATTTGGATGCCTAAGAAAAAATGTAACTGCCCCAGATCTTTGATATCAAACTCAGTAGTAAGAGCACTAATAACCTGTGGAATGGAAGTTGTAGCACTCCCAGTGATGATTATATCATCCACATAAAGCAACAGAATCACAACAGTATCCTCAACATATTTGACAAACAGGGAAGAATCTGCATATGTATTGACAAATCCCAGCTGAGGCAAGAACTTTGTAAAGCGATCATTCCAGGCCCTAGGAGCTTGCTTCAAGCCATAGAGGGATTTATGAAGCTTGCACACTAAATGAGACTGAATTGGATCCTGAAAACTAGGTGGTTGGGCCATATAAACTTCCTCTTCCAACACTCCATGCAAAAATGCGTTTTTAACATCCAATTGTCTAAGATCCCATCCAAAATGTGCAGCAAGAGCAAGGACTAACCTCACAGTAGTAGGCTTAACCACAGGACTAAACGTCTCACCATAATCCAATCCCGGTTCTTGACTAAATCCTTTAGCCACCAAACGAGCTTTATGGCGAGCAATAGAACCATCAGAGTGTCTTTTGATTTTGAATATCCACTTGCAGGCAACCAGATTTTTAGTAGATGGCAAAGAGACCAGAGTCCAAGTACCCTGAGCGTGGAGAGCAGCCAGTTCTTCTTGCATACTTTGAACCAGATAGGATTTTTAAGAGCTGACTTATAAGAGCTAGGTTCAATTAGAGACAAATCAATCTCTGCACAAGGTTGAGCAGATGCCAGGAAAGCCTTCTTTTTACAAATACCATTTTTGCTCCTAGTTTGCATTGGATGCAAATTGATGGGAGGAATATCCAAAACAGCTTGCAAAGAGTCAGGATGAAACTCAGTGTTCTCAGTATTCAGGGGAGAACCAGGATCAGGAACCACAGGGAGCTGAGAAGATGAGACAGGTGCACTAGTAATGGACTGAGGATTAAGGGAAGAATGCGCAGATGATGGGGTTGTGGAGGCCCGTGGTATGAATACTGAGACAGTATGGGAGCAGATGGAACCCCATTGGAACGTGACCAACCAGGAGGACCAATGTAGTTAGGTCCTTTATCATTGTAGAAGCAGAACCAGGTCACATGATTCATTTTGCCACATATTTGACAGCCAAGCTTCTCGGAAGTCTTTGCACCACAGAATGGAGCAGTGTGACCTTCAATGTTACACAACTGACAAACAGGAAGCATAGAGGTAGAGGAGGACCCTATTGAAGAGAGTGGAGAGGAACCAAGAATGCCTGATGCAGAGGTAGGTGCCTGAGTGGAGTATACTGGTCTGGGATTGAAGAATCTGTGTCCCTGAAACTTTCCTTTCCCCTTATGTTTATTCCCATTGTAAGCTTTGTAACCACCAGAGGCAAATGGAGATTGACCATGAATATGACCAAATGTCTGCGAGGATGACACATTTTTAGACTGAGAATTAGCAACCATAGCAGTCATAAAGGAAGCATTCGAATGATTCTCAACAATGATCTCTTCAGCAAGTAACTGTGCCCTAAAATCTTTTAGGGTAATGACACTTTCACGACCTCGAATCACACAACGAAACGTATTGTATTCAGAAGGCAAGCCATTAAGAGCAAGGATTACAATATCCTCATCTTGAAAGAACACCCCAGCAGCGGACAAATAATCCCTAGCTTCTTTAATGCGTTGCAGGTAAACTGAAATGGAATCAGACCCCTTTTTGATTGTCTGCAAATTCGACTTCATCTGAAAGATACTGGTTTTGGACACAGTGGAGAATTGTTCCTTTAACCGAGTCCAAAGATCCCGCGAACTTTGACTCCCAATAGCACAGGACATAGCCACAGGTGATAAAGTCGCAGTAATCAACTGCATTATAGCCCTATCATGCATTCTCCAAATCAAAACAGCATCATTCTCACCAGATTCACCAGTGTGTGAGGGACAGGAGGTCGATCCGTCCACAAATCCCATAAGCCCATTGCTTTCCAGTAAGAGTTGCATCTGAAAATGCCAATTAAGATAATTGGAGTCATCAAGCTTGACGTTAACAGAGATCGAAATCGACGAAATAAGATTCGTAACCGGAGATTGAAGTAACTGTAGTTGAGACGCAGTCACCATATTTCACACTCAATTGCAGATTCTTGAAACACAATCCCAATGTCAGTCAGAAATTTTCACAAACACGTAGTGTGCAAAGATCACAGACCATAAATCGAACCAGAAACTGATCCAGAAACTAAGCCAGTAATCAATCTCAATGAAGAAGCACCAAGAAAACCCTAAATCAAAACAGAACAAGAAAATGAGTCCGATCAGAACAAGAAACCGAGAACACCACAGAGGAAGAAGCGGAAGCAGAAGCAAGGAGGATCGAAGATCACGCGTTAGCAACAATGGCGAGTGATACCATGTTAATCTTCATGAATTGCAGTATATATCTGTCTATATCCTTTCTATAATATGCAAGAACTAGAGAAAGATTAGAGAGAGAGATTAGAGAGAGAAAGAGAGAATAGAAGATATTATTTCTGTAAAGTATTTCTTACACATTAAGTATCTCAACAATATTGCCTTATATAGGCAGTTACACATCTAGTTACTAATGAACCAAAACACCAAGATTGTGACAAGTGTCACAATCATGAACCATTGACTATATATTCTAACAAGAACAACATTGCAGCGAAATTGGATGCAATTGAATAAATAGATGGAGAGAAATCGAGTTTTGAAGAACATACTGTTCTAAGTGCATCCATGAGAAGATGACGTTTTACAGATCTTTTGGTTTTCCAGGGAAGAATAAGGAATGGGTTCTGGACATCAGCATCTTTGTCTTTTTTCAATGCTTGCTCTATGCTATGATTGATTGATTTCTTGATATCATCAGGGAATTTATTTTCGGCTATCCACTGGTTTACGCCTAGCTGCTTCACCTCAATCTTCTGTCTTATCTCTTCTGATTTTTCAGCTTCCAACTGTATTAAAGTCTGTCTCACCACAAGTAGAATTCATTAAGAAGCTCGATCAATGATCTCCTATGTCCTAGCTAGCTACATACCAGAAAGGTATTTTCACCGAAGGACTTAGGTATCTAATATAATTTGAAATCCATTCACAAATAATTGTACACGATAGAGGCGCTGAAGAATAACAATTGAAAAATAAAACTGTTATATAGTGAGATTTTGAATGTACCAACCTGTACATTGCCGATGAGATATAAAAACAGTAACAAGCCAATGATGGAAATGAGAATTGCAAATAAGTTTTCCCACACATTAGTAGTTGTTGTCAGATTCGTCCCAAAATTACTGCAAAACATTATAGGTACATGACATCATATTAGACAATGCTGCGGAATTAGATAACCCCAAAAAATTTATTCGTTACTAATTCTCTTAAAATTGTTTATTGTCAGTGATATACTTTTAACCTTAGATTTTGCAAGCCCCACCAGAAAGAGTAAAAGAACTTCTTTCCGAACTTTGTATGCTCTGAGTTATGATTCTTAAGGGAATCGAGAAATATTCCAAAATTAGATAATGGTAAGGCACCATCTGGAGTATCTAACGGGCAATGCTCGTTTAGAAATGTTATATTTCTCGAAGTAGTAGTTCGACGCCCACGATAGAAAGTATTCGTACATCCTATAGGATCTGGACTATGTTTTGCACAAGCATTGTGCCAACATGATGTCTCTCGTTCAATAGAAAAGAAATACCAAAAAACTCCAAGTATCTACAAAAGTAACAAATGCATAATCAAATGATTTATCAATTAAGGAATATACAATGCATTATGGAAAAATTATGACTAAGCCGACGTTAACAAAATCGAACAAACAAAAAGTTGTCTTGTAATAATTGATGACGAAAGTAAGTTTGATGGTACATATAATCCGAAACGTACAAACAAAGTCTAAGGTTTCTAAAAGAAAGCTTCATCCAACAAAAGTGAATACAAAATATATATTAATGAAATGACATTCGAAGTGAAACTTACGTGACTGGCAAGGATGTAGAGAAAAAAATTGAATAGACCTTTAACCCATATTCCAGCAGTCCTTCGAAGTTCATTGGACGACCAGTGAATTCGATATATCCTTGGTAGATATTTACCAAGAAGGAAGACATTAAGAACCTTTTTATGTTCCACATATCCAGCGCCTCTCATATTGTAAAAAACAACTAATATTAGCAGCTAGAGAAGAGAAATAAAAAGGTTTTAGAAAAATCTACTAATTACAGCTAGCTAGTTAAGAATAGTTGCACACAAAAAAAAAAAAAAAAAAAAAAAAAAAAGCAAGTTTAATTTCTCTTACTTGTGGGATGGGAAGAAGAGCTAGAAAATCATTTATGATGGAGAAAGATAACCACGACATCTTCTGAGTAATTTTCTTGCCACCTTCAATCAACACTTCTCTTTTTGATTCCCGAAACAAATTTCTCGTGGTATTTGCAGCCACATTAGTCCTCAAATTTTTGTGCATTTGAACTTTAACACCATTGTAAATTTTATATATAAAGGGCACAGCGAAAATGGTATCCGTGAGTGATCGCAACACAAGAACAATAGTTCTTAGCTTTTTGTCCATTTGAAGGCACTTGTTATCTTGATGAATGATTAAAATGTAAAAGAATAGAGGATCTAGTGAGACGGCAAACACACATGACATAACAAATATCATACTCCACTTGGGAAGCAAGTTCCCTTGTTCATCCCGCATTCCCTTTATTAGGGCATCTAATTCCATTGTAATCGCTGGTTTGCGCTGTTCTGTAACAGATCTTGAAACGACAGAAAAAGAACAAATTGCACTCATCAGAATCATGAAGAAACACAAAAAGATCCAGCAAAGTGCTGTTCGGAGATAGAGTTTATGAGGTATACATAAACTAGTGGATTGTATGTAAGCTACTATGAGCATTCTTTAGTGTGAAGCATACATAAGGGCCGTGTAGTGTAGAAGAATATGCATATGAGTGTTCATGAGAAAAAAAACAGGCAGACAAATGAAATGAAGAAAACTAAATGCTCGGCATTTGAAAACGTAAGGAGACGTGTTTTCACATGTGAAGCGAAACGGCCACATGCGCTACACGTCACCCCGTTGTGTTGTCACGTGTTAGGATTGAAAAGTCACCACACGTGAAGAGGCGTGTTGAGAATGAACCCCATATTAATGAGAGGAGAAACCTTGCATGGGCTTATGAGTAAGTTGGGCTACTCCCTATATTGTCAGTTGGTTTTATGATGGAACCTTAATTTTCTTTGGATTATAATCACAAGTTACAGCCATAGAATGGTTGAAGTATTTGGCCAGCCAAAGCCAGTACATATAGAAGTCCCAGTGTTTGATACAAAGTTGTATCTGAAAAAATTAGAGACAAAAAATTGCAGTCTTAATGTAAAGAAGTGCTAACCTTGCCTGGTTCTCCACATCTAAAGCTTGTCTTCCACAAGCCATAACTACTGAATCGAGTTTATGATACACCGTGATGATTAGTATTCCCTGCTAGCTTTACAGTAAAAAGAAATTGTGTGTGCGAGAGAGAGAGAGAGAGAGAGAGAGAGTTTAGCTACATGGAAGCTTACAGCAACGATGCCTGAATGGCTAAGTTTGGGAGGCTTTCAATTTACAATGTGGATCAAGTAGAGAGAGAGCAGATTCGAGTGGCAGAAACCGAAGTTTGGTAGCATTCTCTGCATCAAATAGCTAGTTGTTTCATGCCGATGATGATGTTATCTTATATATAAAGTCAAGGGTTCAATGAACAGTGTTTTGGTGTAAGCTTCACAAACAATAAATAGACAGAAATGCCCCTTAAACAAAAAACTTCAAAAGCAACCGAAAATAATGCATCAAATGTGGTAGGGGTATTTTCGTCATGTTAATAGTGTTTTTTTTTTAATAATTAGTACCTCACAATAGGGCAATAATGTGATTCAATCAATTGTGCATTAAATATTACTTTCTCTATTTTTAAACACGTTTAAAACATCTTAAAAGGCATGTAATAGCGGTTATAAAAAATGTCTTTCACACGCAGATAATAATGTGATTAAATTAGTTGTCAAATGATTGTTTTTTTTTGTAAATAAACAATATTATCTACACTAAGAGGAGATGAGATAGGTTTAGCCTCATAAAGAGTTAGTAATAATGTGATTCAATTAATTGTTTATTAAATATTATTTTCTTTATTCTTAATGTAAATTCAATAGAGATCGATTTTATTATGTGGATTTAGCTGCTTTAATTGGTTTATGACGGGTTTCTTCTAGTATGATCTAAGATCATTCATTTATTTCAAATATTTGATTTCCTTTTGTCAATTTATGCCTATAAATACATTTAAAACGTATAAGTTACGCGTAGCACGCCGTGATTTAAAAAATACTTTCTGGACGTGCGTGAGCACGTGTATGAAGGCTAGTCGATTTAGAAAATCCCTTTTCGTAAGCAAATCGAAGTTCTATTTATTAACATGCAGTTGGTCTGGACTAATTAGTGCTTCATTTAGACGAGCATTTTAAGTTTTTGGGTAATTTTAGGAAGACTAAATTTTAAAAACTAAAAGATATGGAAGTTGATTAGTTTATTACTTAAGCATTGATAGACGTGCTCATTTTCATTGGTAACACATCATTTAGTTTGCAAACTAAAAATTTAGTTTGCAATAAAAATCCATAAAGTGTTGAATTTGAACCACAAATATCTCAATTACATCTTTAAAGATTCTCACACACACCCAATTTTCCTTTAAAGTTATAAATAGACTAAGAACAAAGACATCGCTTCTTGGTGTGTATATCTACATGCAAAAAATTTTAAGTGCTCCAAAGTATTCAGTATTCTAGATGTTTTAACCAATAAATCTTAAATTTTATATGTTTAACAAAAATTGAACGATTAAGAACATCCAAGAACGTCCCTTCTACATGTAGGAAAACCAAGTGTTGGGTGAATTCAAATTTTATTCACACAAAGACATATCTTAGTATATCTACATTGTAGGTAGTTGGATGCACATTTGTCACCTCAAGTGCATCAAAATATCTGAGCAAATGGGTCATGGATCCGTGGGTCGGGGCGGGTATGGAACGGGTACATATATTGAATATTCAAAACGGGGCAGGGGATGGCGGGTACAAATTTCAGAGAAAACGGGCCCTCGGTCCAAACCTTTTCCACCGTTCATTATAGGGAGATTAAATCTCCACCGTTTATTTCTAACACATAGCTACATAGCTTATGTCGAATTCTCCAGACTTCAGAGTCTTCCCAGGTCCCTGACTCTTCTCGACCTCGAATTCTCCCAGCTTCGTCCATTCATTAACTGGCCGGCGTTCTTCTTTATTTCAGCAACCATTTCCAGCCTCCAGTCGTCTGGGGTTAGTCGGTCTCCAAAGTCATTTCCCATTTCAGCCATGCCTGGCAAAGATGATGTCGGCTTCTCTGAGAAGGAGAAGAACCTCGAGCTCTTCCTCAAAGTCGGATTGGACGAGTGCACGGCCAAAAACACCGTCGCCAACATCAAAGTCACTGCCAACCTCACCATCGTCATTCACGAGGTACTCAATCGTTGATTTTCTTCTTCTTTTTCTGCTTAATTTTCGGGTTTTTCCGATTTAGATGCAGGCAATTCATAATCCCGCGGATTTATATTTTTAGTCTACTTATTTTGTTGTTCTTGAATAATTTCAGGTTGCGGTTACTGATGGATGTAGTTGAACAATTGGTAATCTCCTCTACAAGGTTAGTAATTTAACTTTAAGCCATATGTTAACATTTCTGATTAAGCTATTAATCCAGTAAATTAGTTAGGAAAGTATGGTTGATAAATATGAGGATGGACACTTGTAGGATTTTCTTGCAGCGGCTAAGGAAGGAGGTATGATGGGGTGATGTCGATGTGCTTCGGTAATTACAGAGTAAAGTGGGATATTGAAAATTAATCGATTTCATTGCTCCACTTCTATAATTTGCCTCCGGCGGCGCCCTCTTTGACTGGAAATCTAGGATACTGAAAATTAGAAAGAAAAAAAAAATGTACCCGTTGGACCTGTTCGGTTCTCAATTTTAAAATAGTAAAATCCGTCCCATTCTATTTTCAAGCGGGTCCGGTCCGATCCCTTTAATTTTGAGCCCGATCCGGTCCGTGCCCACCCTTATCGCCAGCTGTATCATAGCAAAATAATAACTACCTAAGGCAAGTCGCCAATTGTTTCCAAAGAAAAGAAAAGTCGTCGTCGACGTAAACTCTTATCCACCAAATAATCGTCAATGATAAAATTTATCAAAACATGAAAAAATAATGGAAATTTTGACTCTTCAGATTATTAAACAGGATTTTGTAACTCAAGTTGTTTAAAAGTATTTCTTTTTACATTTATGGTTCGGTTTAACCGACTCTCTTGTTAATTTAAATGAGTACGATTGACAATTCTAATCGTTAAACCCAATAACCATGAATAACCACCAAATAGATTAAATTTGAGTATGAAAATTTGAATATATTTTGAATATGAGAAAAAACCGTGAATATTATTCAGTTATGGTTATAGGGCCCCCAATTCGACCCGAATAATATATAGTTACATTTTGTGGAAAAGTTCAAAAGTTATGAATCAAAACCAATGAGAATTCAACGTAAACTCCTCCTCTTTTATTGTTTTTTTTTTAACAAAAAAACAAGCCGAAGGCAAATTTAAGCTCTTAACGATCTCTAATCGATTTGGTCAAAGGGTCATAAGTCAAAATATAATTGTAGACATCGAAATTTCGGTGAAACAAATGTTCACCAACGTATTAAAGTTTTGACGTGTCAGGGCATACATGGCATACGCCACGTGTTGTACAAATTGTACACATGGCATGTGACTCAACAAAATAGGAAGAAATACACTTGGATGATTAAACAAGTTTTTCTTCTCAATTTGGGCAATGACAAGGTAAGCACATTTCAATTCATTACGGATCAAAGCAAGTTTTTCTCATTTGGGCAATGACAAAACAAGCACATTTCAAGTTTAAAATTGTATTAAGTGGGAAATTAGGCCATAAATAAGACCACTTCAATTTCAATATTGCATTAAGTGGAAAGTTAGGCCATTTGTTAGACCACTTCAATTTCAATATTGTATTAAGTGGAAAATTAGGCCATAAAGAAGACCACTTCAATTTTAAAATTGTATTAAGTGGGAAATTAGGCCATTTGTTAGACCACTTCAATTTCAATATTGCATTAAGTGGGAAAATTAGGTAATAGTCCCACTGGGCGTGCCAAATTTGTGAACACGAAAAATTCCTAAAAACAAGAGACAAGAATACGTGTACAAAATAATATTTTTGTGTTTAATGATTTTGGGGTTACGATCTCTTTGTCATTTGATCCTCTGATTCTATCTTCGTAGGGTGTAGGTTTGTGGATGAGTTGTTGATCCAAAGGGCCGTCGGGGCTTGATCTAAGGATGAACAGTTGATGAATGGATCTTCAAGGAGCGTTGGGCTTGATCTTGAAGAATGGGTGTATAGGTTTGTTGAGGTTGTTGATCCAAAGGGCCGTTGGGGCTTGATCTTAGGATGAACAAACGTAGAATGTTACGTAGATGATGTGGTGGTCAAGACAAAGAAAAGATCAAACCACTTGAAGGATCTGCGAATAGTGTTCGAAAGGCTGCGAAAATACAACCTCAAGATGAACCCGTTAAAGTGTGCGTTTGACGTCACCTCTGGAAAATTCCTCGGCTTCATCGTCAAGCATCGTGGCATTGAAGTGGACCAATCAAAGATCAAGGCCATTCAAAGCGTGCCCGAGCCAAGAAACCTGCACGAGCTGAAAAGTCTACAAGGACGGCTAGCCTTCATCAGATGCTTCATCTCCAACCTCGCAAGGCGTTGTCAACCGTTTAGTCGCCTTATGAAGAAAGATGTTCCATTCGTATGGGACAAAGCATGCCATAATGCTTTTGAAAGCATAAAGAAATATTTGTCAAGTCCACCTGTCCTGGGGGCACCTGTGCCCGGGAAACCGCTCATATTGTATATTGCTGCTCAGGAAAGTTCAATCGGAGCACTCTTGGCGCAAGAGAATGAATCCCAGAAAGAAGGAGCACTTTACTACCTCAGTCGAACTCTTACCGGCGCTGAGTTGAACTATTCCTCAATAGAAAAGATGTGCCTCGCTTTGGTGTTTGCCATTCAGAAGCTCAGACATTACATGCATGCTTGCACCATCCACCTCGTTGCTAAAGCCGACCCTGTCAAATACGTCATGTCCAAGCCAGTCTTAACAGGGCGACTCGCCAAATGGGCTTTGCTTCTTAATCAATATGAGATCATCTACGTCCCAGCTAAAGCAGTCAAGGGACAAGCGCTAGCAAACTTCCTCGCCGATCATCCAATCCCGGCTGATTGGAAAATCTCAGACGACTTGCCTGACGAGGAGGTGTTCTACATCGACATCTTCCCGACATGGACGATGTTCTTCGACGGATCCGCACGAGCAGACGGAGCGGGGGCAGGAGTAGTATTCATGTCGCCACAAAGGCAAATACTACCTTACTCCTTCCAACTGAGTGAGCTATGCTCCAATAATGTTGTTGAGTACTAAGCATTGATCATCGGGCTCCAAATGGCGATCAACATGGAAATCACAGCTCTTGAGGTATATGGCGATTCTAAGCTCATAATCAATCAGCTCTTAACTGAATATAAGGTGAGGAAAGATGATCTTGTCCCATACTTCCGGCTGGCAACTCAACTGCTACAAAAGTTCGAGGCCGTGACACTAGAACATGTGCCAAGAAAGGAAAATCAAATGGCAGACGCTCTTGCCAATCTAGCCTCGAGTATGACACTAAGAAAAGATGAAGCTGCAGACGTACCAGTTTGCCAAAGATGGGTGATTCCGCTCGTTAATGAAATGTCACTAGATGATACAAATGTCATCTCAGTACTTCCAGTCGATGCTGAAGAGTGGAGACAACCGCTGATCGACTACTTAGAGCACGGAAAGCTTCCAGATGATCTTAGACACCGTTCCAAAATACGTCGACGAGCACCTCGCTTCCTTTACTACAAATGGACACTCTATCGACGCTCTTTTGAAGAAGTGCTCCTGAAATGCCTAGGTGAGGAAGAAGCTAATCAGGCCATGGAAGAAGCACATTCAGGTGTGTGTGGGGCACATTAATCTGGACCAAAGCTACATTTCCAGCTTAAAAGAATGAGTTACTACTGGCCGAGCATGGTGAAGGACTGCCTGGAACACGCCAAAAGGTGCCAAGCCTGCCAATTCCACGCCAACTTCATACATCAACCGCTTGAACCATTACACCCTACAGTTGCTTCATGGCCGTTTGACGCATGGGGATTGGACGTTATAGGACCAATTACGCCAAAGTCATCTGCAGGAGAAGCTTACATCCTAGTTGCAACAGATTACTTCTCCAAGTGGGCTGAAGCCATACCTTTAAGGGAAGTCAAAAAGGAAACTGTTGTTCATTTCATCAAGGAGCATATCATCCACCGATATGGTGTGCCTCTCTACATTATCACTGACAACGGAAAACAGTTCTCCAACCGACTCGTGGACGAGCTTTGCGACAAATACAAGTTCAAGCAGCACAAGTCTTCCATGTATCATGCTCCGGCCAACGGCCTCGCAGAAGCATTCAACAAGACGTTGTGCAACCTCCTAAAAAAGGTAATCGGCCAAACAAAGAGAGACTGGCATGAAAGAATAAGTGAAGCACTTTGGGCATATAGGACTACATATAAGACTCCCATCCAAGCTACGCCTTATTCTCTTGTATATGGCGTGGAAGCTGTGCTACCGCTCGAAAGTCAAATCCCCTCACTAAGGATGGCTATACAAGAAGGCTTGACTGATGAAGAAAATACAAAGTTACGCCTTCAAGAGTTGGAAGTGCTGGATGAAAGAAGGCTCGAAGCTCAACAACACTTGGAATGCTACCAAACACGACTATCCAAGGCATTCAACAAGAAAGTCCGCCGAAGGTCTTTCCAAGTCGGAGATCTCGTGCTGGCATTGCGTAGGCCTATCATTACAACCCACAAGACAAAAAGCAAGTTCACATCAAAGTGGGATGGACCCTACGTAATATAAGAGGTCTACACCAATGATGCCTACTTAATCATGGCAGAAGACGGCTTGAAGATCGGCCCCATCAACGGCAGATTTTTGAAGCGCTACTACCCCTAAAGCAAACGCACCACGCTTCTGGCCCGCAAGAGCATAAACTGTGTACTGCAAAATCATCATTAAAATCACCAAAAAAAAAAAAAGAAAGGAAATAATACATCTTGGTGATATATATGTTTTATCTGTATTTAGCACAATACACTGAATAAAATAAAGCATGTCCATTGATCACCGAGAAATTACAAGTGCGTACAAAAAAAAAAAAAAAAAAAAAAGATGGAGCTTTCACAAAGGTTGTTCACGTGAAACCCCACTACTTGGCAAAACTCCAGGAGCGGGAGGCATCGAAGATGGATCATTCGAGGCCTCAATACTTGGTTGAACGCTAGATGACGAAGGAAAAATGTGCCTCTGGAAGAAAGCCGCAAGCCTTTGACGGTTACTTTGAATTCGACCTTCAGATTCTTGCAGCTGATCAAGCTTCCTCTTCATGCTCGTCGAATAATTATTTGCAAGCACGTGCAAACCTCTATTCTCGCGCTTAAGCTGTTTGATCTCTTATTTAAGATTTTCCACCTTCGCCATCAATGATTCAACTTGACGGGATCGAGCAAGTAGGCGTTGGCCCATGTTGGACACAAAGCCCGCACACTGAACACTGAGAGCTAGGGACTCTTGAACAGCCAACTCATCGGACAGTCCTGAAAGCAGCCTACTATCTCTAGGAGTGAGGAGGTTCCTATCTACTATCGTAGCTGTTGTTGCATCCTTCATCACGGAGTCTTCACCTGTAAGAGGGCCATTAGAAGATAAGAAAGACGGGCACCATATATTACCCTGACGCGGCGCACCCGTATCATGGCTGAGACTCAAATCTAAGCAAATGTTAGATGGGTTAGCCATTTTCAAAGATGTTAAAAGAGAAGGGTTGGATGGAGTAAAAATCTC